ATATACAAATAATAATTTCAAATAATGGTAGGGCACATCACAAGATACCTAATACAACATCAATATTTAGTCTTTGGACAGATATTGACTTGTTTATCACCACAGGTGCATATATAATTCGGCCAAATATTGACATTTCTTTAGACTGATCAAATATCCACATGAATAACACACATAAACACATTTTAATATTCTAAATTAATTAATTTTCACAAGAGATGTTGTTTTGACAACATGTGTCTTCAATTAATTCACTTTCGAATATCATAACTTTTAAAAGATTTCTTTGTACCAAAATATAAAACAAAATCACTAAATTTGCATTTAATTTATTTTGAAACTTTAGGGGTCTAAGTATTAATAATTCAAAATTTTAGTGATAAAAAATTAATTATTCAAAAATTTATGGGCCAATTAGAACAAATTATAAACTTTGACGGCCCAAATTAATTAATTTTCGAACTTCAGAGACTGAATTATTAAACCCAAAACTTTAAAGGCCTAATTTGGATGAATTTTAACCTTAAGGGCTGAATTATTAAATCTTTAAATTTAAGAGGTTGAATTATTAAAAATAGATTTTAAAAATTGCAACCCTAACCCTCATATGAAATTGCAAGCAATGACCTTAAATTATCTAATTCCTATCACAAGGCCCCAGCCCCAAAAAATTCACCCAAACTGAAAACCCTTAAAACAATGAAGGGAGAAGAATTTCGAGCGTCGCCGCCCCAAAAGACTAGAGCAACCCTCATCGACAGCTACGAGCGCTTCACGCTTTACAGAGCGCACGTGTAGACAGCGCACTACCGTATGCCGGCGGTAGCGTTACTTCGGTACAGCGTCGTCGTCTACGGGAATTTATTTATTTTTTAACAAAACTGAAATAATTGAAAACTGACCGAAAATTTTTCAAATTTAACAAAACTAAATCCAGAATTACTAAATTTGAAAACAATGAAATTATACAAGAATCAAATTAAAATTTTGATTCTCAATTATTTAAAATGAATAAGCTCTGATACTACTTGTTGGGAAAATTTATTAACGTCAAAATGATCTTTCATATTGGATCACCAAGAATTTATGAATCAAAGTGGAAGCATACCTAAATCAGACATGATTAATGCAACGAGCGAGTCCTGCGGTTTTAGTCTTCTAGATCAATATGTTGTCCCTTTTTTCTCTCTAATGATGTGAACAATTCACGTGATTCGGGGACTATATATATATATACACACACTAACGGTATGTTAACCTAATTCAACCCATCATGAAATTAGGAACATGTCTGGTCTCTACACATAAATGCACACACTTTAATAAGATGCTTCAAAACCCAAAAAATCGAAACTTTATTGATTACTTTAAACGGGTTTAACCAAAATTGATAGTTTTTAATTTAATACACAATAGTTCACATATAAGTCCACATGATCGATTAAAAAATTCTTACATTTACAAATATTTAACCACACGTTTTATCATTTCCTAAAATCTATTAAAATTTTGATTAAACAAATGGCTAAAAAAAGAAAGACCAAAGCCAAGCCAAGCCAAGCCAAGTCAAGTCAAGTCAATTCACTCCTCTGCCATAAATATGCAATCTCATTTTCTCCTACCATCCATTTTTTTTCTTACAAGTGCATTCTCAATAGCTCAGCTCAATATGTTAGCAACAAAAATAGTCTCCAATGGAATCAAATACTCCACTCTTCTGAAGAGTTATGTCCGGCCGGCACTGGAACGACCAAAACTGTCCGAGGTCGCCAACTGTGAAACTGTTCCGATAATTGATTTGGACTGTGAAGATGAAACCTTAATAATCCAGCTGTTCCACTTTGCTTCCAACAAAGTGGAAGCATACCTGAATCAGACATGATTAATGCAACGAGTGAGTCTTGCGGTTTTAGTCTTCTAGATCAATACATTTTCCCTTTTTCTCTTTAATGATGTGAACAATTCACGTGTGATTCGGGGACTATATATACACACACCAATGGTATGTTAACCTAATTCGACTCATCGTGAAATTAGGAACATGTCTCATCTCTACACATAAAGGTACACACTTTAATCAGATGCTTTAAAACCCAAAAAATCGAAACTTTATTAGATTACTTTAAAAGGGTTTAACCAAAATTAATAGTTTTTAATTTAATACACAATAATTCACATATAAGTCCACATGATCGATTAAAAAATTCTTACATTTACAACTATTTTACGGTCCACACGTTTTATTATTTCTTATTAAAATCTATTAAAAATTTGATTAAACAAAGGGCTAAATAAAGAAAGACCACCGAGCCAAGTCAATTCACTCCTCTGCCATAAATATGCAATCCCATCTTCTCCCACTATCCATTTTTTTTTTCTTTCAAGTGCATTCTCAATAGCTCAGCTCAATATGTTAGCAACAAAAATAGTCTCCAATGGAATCAAATACTCCACTCTTCCGAAGAGTTATGTCCGGCCGGCACTGGAACGACCAAAACTGTCCGAGGTCGCCAACTGTGAAACTGTTCCGGTAATTGATTTGGACTGTGAAGATGAAACCTTAATAATCCAACAAATTGGAGATGCCTGCCGTGATTATGGATTTTTTCAGGTATAAGCCGTATTTAAAATCGAGTTTTTCTGTTACCATTAACAATTATTACAATAACAATTGCTTATTTTGCATCTGTATTATCAGGTGATAAATCACGGAGTATCAGAAGAAATAATGGAGAAAATGCTGAAGGTGGCCGATGAATTTTTCCATTTACCATTGGAAGAAAAAATGAAATTATATTCAGAAGACCCTTTCAAGACTATAAGATTGTCCACAAGTTCTAACGTGAAGAAGGAGACAGTTCATAATTGGAGAGATTATCTTAGACTCCATTGCTATCCTTTGGAGAAATATGCATCTGAATGGCCATCAAATCCCTCCACTTTCAAGTAAGAACATTATTTTTTTTATTCTCTATTTTTTTTCCGTCCTTACCCTTCTTAACATATTAATTTTTAGTGTTTAGTTGATTAATCAATGGATCAGAAAATATGGGTTCTTGATTTACATTGATTTTCCTGATATGCATGATTTTAAGCATTTTTTCATGCAACAAATAAATACATCATGACGTGTTATTGACTGACGTAATAGATGATGATCATGTTGTTCTTAAAGTATATTTTAAAAATCGTGTGAAGAATGTCATAGTACAAAACAAATGATGATTTTGGACTCATTAGAAAATATAATTACGACTAGAAGTTCATTTTTTTAACTTTTGCATTGTGAAAAGTCGAAAAATTGGGTTCACTTTTGCCCTTTTTAAAGACAAATCCTATGGACCACTCTACAATATATATGCCTTGCAGGGATATAGAATTGAAAATGGAATGAAGAGGCAATTTCATCTTCATCGATATTTGATAAAACCAAGCAAATAGGGTTATAATTGAACATTCACTGCCACTGTCAGAGAAAGGTAGTACGGTAATTTTGTGCTCCAATTACAAATAAAGAAATATGTCACGTTTGACTAGGACCGGCATTGTCATGAAATGGAGATGATTTAGTCAATGGTCAATCAACCTGCTATATATTCCTTATCGATTTTTTAAAAATTATTTAAAGAAATAACAAAATTTACTTTTTATCCCACTTTGAAATATATTATAAGTCTCAGGACTAACATGATAAAAATTGATAAAATATATGGTTAAAAAATTGATAGAAGTTAAGAATTTGATAAAATATGTGGTAAAAATAATTGTTGATTTTGACTTAAATTATTATTATTATTTAATTAAACTGAATACAAGATAAGAGAACAATATTCTTTCAATCTCATAAAGATAGACATGTTTTCATTTTTTGTTTATCTCAAATAATATGTCATTTTCCTTGTTGAGAATATAATTGATTTCTTATTATTATTATTTTTAATATATCGCTATTTAATGTGTCTTGTTATTAATAAAAATAAACTATTTCTATTTAAATCATTATTTAATGTAGAAATATATTTTTTTTTCAACTATATTAACTATATTTTTTTTAATCTATACAAAAATAGAAGCAAACCTATCGTTATAGGAAGAGATATTAAAATCATATTTTTAGTAGATTTTAATAAAAATTGTGTGTTTGAAAAGTTGTAAATCTCATAAAATATGTGGTTAATATTTATTGTTGACTTTGACTTAAATTAAAATTTAGATTTTAATTTAAACCAAGCAATGCATAATTTCCGATCTCTTTTGAAACAGTAAAAAGACCAATTGAATTAGTATGGCTCTTGGGAAGAATGAAGAAAGACCATTAAAATATATTTATTGACATAAAGAAATGTGCCAACTATTATAAAGTGTGTAAAATTTAGGGTTAAATTCAACGATGGTCATTCAATTTTATATTTAGTGCAAATATGGTCTCTCAATTTAATTTTGTTTCATCATGACCACCCAACTTTATATTTAGTATCAGCATAGCCATCTAATTTGATTTTATGTCATCATGAACACCCAATTTCATATAATGTTTCATCATGACCACCTAATTTCATAGAACATTTCATTATAGTTATTCAATTTCTTTTCACTATTTTCACTATCACTAATTTGAAAATGGGTAAAATTGTAACTTTGTATTATATATATATATATATAAAATAAATTTAAAAAAAACAAAAATAATTTTTTCTTAAATTTTAAAAAATTTTATTTTATTATAAAGTTATCGTTTTACCCTTTTAATGTTTCATCATGACCACCTAATTTCATAGAACATTTCATTATAGTTATTCAATTTCTTTTCACTATTTTCACTATCACTAATTTGAAAATGGGTAAAATTGTAACTTTGTATTATATATATATATATATAAAATAAATTTAAAAAAAACAAAAATAATTTTTTCTTAAATTTTAAAAAATTTTATTTTATTATAAAGTTATCGTTTTACCCTTTTAATGTTTCATCATGACCACCTAATTTCATAGAACATTTCATTATAGTTATTCAATTTCTTTTCACTATTTTCACTATCACTAATTTGAAAATGGGTAAAATTGTAACTTTGTATTATATATATATATATATAAAATAAATTTAAAAAAAACAAAAATAATTTTTTCTTAAATTTTAAAAAATTTTATTTTATTATAAAGTTATCGTTTTACCCTTTTAATGTTTCATCATGACCACCTAATTTCATAGAACATTTCATTATAGTTATTCAATTTCTTTTCACTATTTTCACTATCACTAATTTGAAAATGGGTAAAATTGTAACTTTGTATTATATATATATATATATAAAATAAATTTAAAAAAAACAAAAATAATTTTTTCTTAAATTTTAAAAAATTTTATTTTATTATAAAGTTATCGTTTTACCCTTTTAATGTTTCATCATGACCACCTAATTTCATAGAACATTTCATTATAGTTATTCAATTTCTTTTCACTATTTTCACTATCACTAATTTGAAAATGGGTAAAATTGTAACTTTGTAACTTATCGTTTTACCCTTTTAAAATTAATGAAAATTGTAAAAAGAAGTTAGATGGTCATGGTAAAATATTATATAAAATTAAGTGGCCTACTGAAATAAAATCAAATTGAGTTGTCATAGCGACAATAAATATAAAGTTTAGTGGTCATGATGAAACAAAATCAAATGAATGGTCATGGTGGTACCAAATATAAAATTGGATGGGTGGGCAATTTCAGGCCGTTCCGTGCCATTAATTTGCAATGACGTCATCATTGGTCGGTGGGGTGATGTCATAGTCTTTAAATCTTTTGTCCTGGTTTTGACACGTATGCTCATATTGCAATTCCGGTCAATCGCTTTAGCGTGTTGACATCATCGCGCTTATAGAGAGCACTACACATCATTATCAAATAATGAATTCTTAGCATTCACGTAACTAAAAATTGATATTATTTTCAAATAATGCGGTGGGTGCTTACGAGGATCGGAATCAGCACTTCTAGATTCCGGCGATAGTGGAAATCGACACATTAATTTAACTTTTATTTTTTATTTTTTTAATGTTAATCGTGTCGACATTGTTGAACTTATTGTCTAAATTAAATTTTCAATTGTTAAAAACGTGTTAGGTCGAATCTATTATAATTATTTTAACGCGTTTGTTAATTCAATAGATTCTTACATAAAATATGTCTCACGCGTAATGCTCTATCCTTTCTTTATTTAATTTCTATTAGTGATGACTGTTATTGTTCATATAATGTCTATGTCACGTACCGAACTATATATTTCGTCTTCATTTGATTTAGATCAAAATTAAAATTTTAGTAGAGTTCGATTTAAATTAAAATTAAATTTTTAATAGAGTTCGACTAAAGTTGACGAAAAACGTGTTTGAAAATTTGCGAATTCTATAAAATGTGTGATTAACATTGACTTATATTTTAGTCAAATTAAAGAGGGGGCTTCATCTACTTGCCCTTGATTGATGGAAACGAAATTGAAAGCTTTTGACTGATTTAGGCGCAATATAGAAATCAAAGTCGTAACCCGTTTCCCATTTGACAAAGATATATAGACTATATAGCATCGATATTGACTATTGTTATGCAATTTTCCTATACTCTGATATTATATAGAATAATCTTATTATAAAGCTTCGGGTCTCTTTGATTGGACTTCCATTTTTACTATAATTCTTGGCATAACTTCTAGAAAGTTATTTAAATATGTTAAAATATTTTTTTAGTTTTAGAAACAGTTTTTGAATTTTTTAAAGTACTATCAAACAAACTTAGTTATTTAAATTTTATCATAAAAATGTCCAGGGTGAATATTTTTGTCCCTTTCATTATTATTTTTGAATCTTGGCATTGGAAGGGAAATTGTGAGCAAATACTGCATCCAAATTCGAAACCTTGGAGCGAGATTGCAGGAGGACATATCAAAGAGTTTAGGGCTGGAAAAAGATTGCATAAAGAACATTTTGGGGGAACAAGGACAACATATGGCCATTAACTATTATCCACCATGTCCAGAGCCCGAGTTAACTTTTGGTCTTCCCGCTCATGCTGACCCAAATGCTCTTTCTATTTTACTTCAAGACACGCAAGTTGCAGGCCTGCAAGTCCTCAAGGATGGCAAATGGCTTGCAGTTAAACCCCTCCCAAATGCTCTTACTATCAACATTGGTGATCAATTACAGGTACGTCGTCGACGTTCGAGTTCACTGAAAATTGATTATGTTGAATTTTTTCATGAAACGTAAACTTTATAAACTTCACATAATTGCCAAGATCTTCATGTCAAATCACCAAGAAACTTAATTAACGCGGAACATACCTTAATTCATTGATTTGTATCTTGAATTATGAATTTTAATCTTTTGTTCTTTAATTTAATTGCTCCAAACATTCTTCTTGATTCTTGATTCTGGGTTTATAGATCTTCATCTTCAATATACGTTCTCTTGTATTCTTGTATTGATAGGAGACACAAAGAATGAGAATTTTTTTGAGAAATTGGGGACCATAACCCTATATATAGTTTCATATGCATTCGACACATCGTCAAATACAAATTCTAATGGATTTGGTTTCTACACATATAATCTGCCACACACTTTATTTAGATGAACAAAATCCAATTACTTAATTCTTTATTAGATCACTTTAATTTTGGGTTTAACTTTAAGGTATCATATA